ATTTTAGACAAAAGACCCGAAGAGTCCGACGGTACGCGCTGTTCACTTCTGGATAGGAACATTATGTGACTCCACGATCTCAGGAACAGCCGCTCTGCGAGCAGCGGAGCTCGACTCGCAGATTTCGGCCACGATCCTGACGAGAGAGGCCCAGGGCCGGGAGAGTCCCAGGTTCCTGGCCTATTTTCGTCAGCAACTCGTCGTGGAGAACGTGCACGAGGAGATTCCACCCTTCAAGATGCACAGGATCTCGGGTCTGGTGATGCCTATCCTAACGGAGCTGGATGGGATTCGCTGGGAGAACATCAGCTCAAGGGACGTCGTCCTCGTCGACGCCTGCTCCAGGTATAGAAGAATCTACACGGTACCAGTAACTCCTACTAGTCACTAAAACCGAGTGCTGGAAGCGAGTGCTTTCCAAGATAGGAGCGTTTACCCAGCCTTCTAGTACTTGCACAGTAGCAAGCAGAAAGTCATGTGCTATACCCCAAAAATGTCGTAGAAACGTTGTAATTTAAAACATTTTACGAACAAAATGATTAAGGTGAAGTGAAACCCCCTTCAAATCAGTCGATTTGAATACAACACTTTTTTTAAGGGTATTGGACCTAACCGTCCGAAACTTTGACACGTGACTCGTGATCATCTAAGAATTGTTCTGACACATTCAAAATTTGGATTTTTGGAAAAAATTTGTTAACTTAGCCCAGACCAGAACCAAATTTGCGTCGAACTTTCATATTTCGATCAATTATTGAAGACTCTAATATGAGAAACGAAAGGGTCAATTATTGAAGACTCTAATATGAGAAACGAAAGGGTCAAGACAATTTTACGACAATTTAGAACACTCTGGTAATCGATAAACTCGCATTTGAACGGGATAAAGGCAAAAAAAGTGTTGTATGCGCTTCTATGCTAAAACGATGGGAATACGAGGTCTCGGAGTGAAAATATAATTGACCTGGAAATCACAGATGGCGCAGGGGGTCCCTCTGCAGTCAATTAGGGCTCCAGAAATCACGAATTCAGAGGATTTCTGGAGTTTTACTTCGATTTCTTGATATTTATTGTACGAAAACGACAGGTGGAGTATGCCTTTTGGTACAATATCCAATATAATTTGAAACAGCTGACAATATAAGAACGAACGTCGACAACGTAGGTATTTAGAAAAATCTTTACTGACGTCGATCAAGTTCCTCGACGTGTTTCACTTCACCTTAAACAGTATTTGAACGTGTTGGGTGAAGAGCTGTACTCTATTCTCATCCTCTATTCTTGTACCGTTGTAGTTTACAATTCTAGAAGCATTCTTCCCCTCGATAGAATTCAACAAATATCAACGTGGGGTCTTCTGTCCTCCTTTGGGCCATTTCATAACAAAATTCAAAACAAAATTGCAGGAAACTGCTTCTATTTGCTCTTGGAACTTGAATGCCGATCTCGAAAAACGCATCTACTCGTGTCTGGTATACAAGACAGTAGAGTGAAACACGTGGCGGGGGTTACAACTCGCGCTAGGAAATAAGATTGAGTTACTAAAATCGAGCATTACTCGTCTCGGATAAACTACCATTTCAGTATTGAAGTGGAGTACTCGCCCAAGGGCCAATGCAAGTCGAGGGAATAGAAAAGCAATCCTATTTCCTGGCGCAAGTTGTAACCCCCACCACGTGTTTCACTTTACCGTCCTGTATACCAGACACGTGTAGACGCATTTTCCGAAGTGCAAGTTCCAAAAGTAAATTGAAGCAGTTTTGTGCAATTTTGTGTTGAAATGGCCCAAAGGTAGACAGAAGACCCCACGTTCACATTTGTTGAATTGCATCGAGGGGAAAAATGCTTCTGGAATTTTAAACTACAACGGTACAAGAATAGAGAATAGAGTACAGCTCTTCACCCAACACATTCCAATACTGTTTAATCATTTTTTGTTGGTAAAATGTTTAAAATTGCGTCGCCCTTTCGACATTTTTGGTTTATACCACATGACTTTCTGCTTATTACCATGCAAATACTAGAAGGGTGGGTCAATGCTCCTATCTTTAAAGCACTCACTTCCAAGCACTCGGTTTTTGTGACTCGTACGAGTTACTCGCACGGTATAAATTCGCCTTATTCCCTTGACTCGCATTGGTACTTGGGCGAGTACTCCTGTACTGGAATGGCAATTTACCCGAGACGAGTAATACTCGATTTTAGTAACTCCTACGAGTTACCGGCAGCGTATAAATTCGTCTTATTCCCTTGACTCGTATTGGCACTTGGACGAGTACTCCATTCCTGTACTGGACTGGCAGTTTACCCGAGACGAGTAATACTCGATTTTAGTGACTCGTACGAATTACTGGCAGCGTATAAATTCGCCTTATTCCCTCGACTCGCATTGGCACTTGGACGAGTACTCCACTCCAGTACTGGAATGGCAGTTTACTTGAGACAAGTAATAATCGATTTTAGTGACTCGTACGAGTTACTGGCAACGTATAAATTCGCTTTATTCCCTCGACTCGCATTGGCACTTAGGTGAGTACTCCACTTCAGTACTGGAATGGCAGTTTGCCCGAGACGTGTGATACTCGGTTTTAGTGATTCGTACGAGTTACTGGCACCGTATAAATTCCCTTACTGGAGACCGTTTCAATGCAACGGAATCTCAGAACAAAAACCAAACATCTATAATAAAAATAATTTACATAATGAAATTTAGATGCCTCGTCAAGAGAAACATTCAGGGACTATGTCTATTAGAGTTCCACTGAAGAAGTACGTTAGTTTCTAAAATAGAAAAAAGTGCCCTCCAGACGGATTATCGCATTTAATAGAAAGCGTGTTATAAGGAAGGAATGAAATAATTGAAGGAAACGCTTCTTCTTATTCAGAGGCGTCCTCTTCCTCTGGTTGGGCTCTTCCTCGGACCCTTTGCACAAAAGGCACGCGGCGACCGTCCTGGGATCCTGGAAGGGGAACAACAACGACCTGCAGATCGTGGTCGTCGACGATGGCTACGAGCAAACCCTCCGAGAGGACCAGCGGAAGTTATTCGACGGTATCCTGGACCCAAATCGAAGATCGGTGGTCCCGGATGGGCCTCGGAAGATCTACCCACCTAGTCCCGTCAAACTGTATAAATGCAGCGAGCAAACCGGGAAGTACAAGGTGGCCGAATTGAAGTCAGGGCCCATCTTCCGGACGGACCTGACTTCCAGTTCCGTCTTCCTGGTCGACCGAGGAGAGGCCGGAGTTTGGGCATGGGTTGGCCAGCAAGTGGACCTGAAAGAAAGATTGGAAGCCGTGAGGAACGCCCGGGGGTTTGTCAAGAAAAAGGGGTACAGTGCAAGCGTGCCCGTTGCGAGGGCCGTTGAGGGCCAAGAGCCCGCAGAAATGAAATCCTTGATCAAAGGATGGGAACCCCTGAAGAAGAGTCCCCTGACTTTGCCCCCAAAATTCGAACCCGATTACATGTGCGAGAAGCCGAGGATGTCGGCGGAGTGTCAACTCGTCGACGACGGATCCGGCAACAAAACACTCTGGAAGGTCAACTCGAAGGATGGCAGCTTGGAAGTCGAGGACAAAGGAGTTTACTATGCCGAAGAGTGCTACGTCATGCGGTACATGTATGGAAGTGGACGCAGAAGCAGGAGCATCGTATGTACTTTCCATTCTCCCTGTATTTAGAGATTTCTGCCCCCAGGGAAGTCTTCCGAATATCTAAAATCGATTTTAAGGTGATATGAAGGAGTCAGTCTATATATCAGAGAAGTCAAATCGTCGGGGAAAGTACTCTCCGAATTGGAGGGACCGATTCGTTTGAAATTTTACCACGGGAATATGCAGCCCCTAAAATAAGTCCTGAAACTCATGATATTTCATATTTCCTTCAAAATTTATTTACTTATCATGGACGAGAACCAATATAGCGTAGTTCGGGCACGTTTTCGATGTCTTACCCTTCTTGGAGGCTTAGAACCGAAAATGAAGAGTTTGAGAACCTAGCTCGAACAATTTAGAACCGAAAATGAAGAGTTTCAGAACCTAGCACGAACAATTTCAAATACCGTAGAAATGAAATATACATTACAGAGTCAGATGAGAAAATATGGTAAATACTTTCACCAACGATTGCAAGAGAGTGTTGGTTTGTCCCGAGGCTAACACGTGTTTTTAGAGCAAAAATTTAGTTGCACCTGAACATCACAGATGGCGACGCTGGTCCTAAACAGTCGTTAGAATAATGAATTTACGGGATTTCGACAGTTTTACGTCGATCTCTTCACCATTACTTAACTGGAATGGCATATGGAACGCTTCAATTCGTGTAATTCTCAACGTACACTGTAAAAGACTTTAACGTAAATATAAATATCAGTAACGAGGCAACTTATGTTACCACTTAAGTACTCAAGATGACGTTACCACCAAAAACGGTACAGATGAATTTTAATTCATCGACATCGATTAAGTTTCTCAGCGTCTTTCATATCATCTTAACTGAGTAAACTCATCGTTTCTTCTTAAAAGCACTCCGTCTTTCGATGGAGGCACAACTTTTTATTCCGCCATTTTTTTATTTTAGACAAAAGACCCGAAGAGTCCGACGGTACGCGAATTTCTCAGCGCCTTTCATATCATCTTAAAATCCGAAAAATCCTAGAATGACATTCACGACGAGTTACTTGAAAAAGTGCAAAGAAAATGCACTTGATTTTCTTAATACAAAGTGAAAAATAATTGATAGTCTTACTTCTTCAAGGTACATTTTTCTCGTAGATCTACTGCTGGGAAGGTGCACATTCTTCGGGGCTGGATAGAGAAGCGGCCTTGGAAAGAGCATGCCAACTTGCCGAGGAGACCTCCGCGCAATTGGTGAAAGCATCACAGGGAAGGGAACCGCCGCACTTGCTGCAAATCTACGGCGGGAAGATGATGATACTCACCGGGCGACATCGTGACAGACGTGAGCAAAAAGTCTGACCAAAAAAATAATTAAGGTGAAGTGAAACCCCCCTCAAATCAATCGATCCGAATAAAACACTTTTTTTTAAGAGTAGAGAACGAAACCGTCTGAAACTTTGACACATGACTCGTGAGCATCTAGTAATTATTCTGACTCTTTCAAAGTTTGGATTTTCCAAAAAAATCTTTTAACTTAGCCCAGACCAGAACCAAAATGGCGTCGATCTCTCATATTTCGATTAATATACAATTATCGAAGGCTCTGATACGAGATACGAAAGTGCCAGGACAATTTTACGAGATTTTAGACCACTCTNTTATTTTATACATTTTAAAAAATCAAAGCATGCTAAATATTTCGTGCGATAATAATAATATATTATTACTTTATTTTGAATACACATACGTACACCAATACTTTAAATTTATATTCCCTGGGTAAGTGCTTTATTTTTTGTAAAAGTAGGTACTTATGTTTCAATATTTTATCTCACCAAATGTTGACACTAATTTAAAAATAGAATACTGAAACATGAACCTTTCGTATTTTCATTTGCGTGTCAAAAAATATCATTCAGATATGTATAGGACATGTTACTTCTTATGTGTAAGAAGTATCAATTCCATGTTCGTACAATATTTCGTTAAATATATTTCGAATATAAAAAACTGGCCAAAACTACTTCATCCTATGTTCAAGAAATGTACACAGCACATAAATCCATATCTTATTAATATTGAAATATTTTCAAAGAACATTCTATGAACCTCTGTGCTATGTATATGTGCTGTCTAGGGATGACTCTAACGTTATGATATGCGCGATACAATCCGTACACAAATGTCCACTTATTTTCAGGGACTTCGAGCGGTTCCCGTGGGAAGAAACAAGATGGGAGTTTTCTTCTCGGAGTCGGCATACATCATCTACGCAGTGTCCGCAAAAGATGGTCCTTTGCCGTATCCTGGCGTACCGGTACACCTGCCAAAATATTTAACAATTTTCAAACCGATCCGTCGAATTTTCTCACGGTCTCCTCGTTCCAATTGAACGCATCGAACGGAACAATTGGCCAAATTGCGTGACGGGTACAGCAATTAACGAGGAAGACGCCGAAGAAAGCGCTCACCCATTCATTAAAACTACGAGACCTGAGAACCAGACATTAGGAGCTATAGCTAACTCTTTCACGGAAAAATAGAAATCATAGACCGGCAAACCTTAAGGTGAAGTGAAACCCCCTTCAAATCAGTCGATTTGAATACAACACTTTTTTTTAAGGGTATTAGACCAAATTGTCCGAAGCTTTAACACATCACTCCTGATCATCTAAGAATTGTCCTGACACATTTAAAATTTGGATTTTTGGAAAAAATTTTTTAACAGCCCAGACCAGAACCAAAATGGCGTCGAGCTCTCATATTTCGATTAATATACAATTATCGATGGCTCCGATATGAGAAACGAAACGGTCAGGACAATTTTACAACAATTTAAAACACTCTGGTAATCGATAAACTCGCATTTGAACGGGATAAAGGCAAAAAAAGTGTTGTATGCGCTTCTATGC